CAGCCTTAAAGAAAATCTGATCACTTAGGATAATGGGGAAATAATGGCTCTGATTTGCCAGAAAACATAAAGATGGGACTGTAGACCAATGGAAGAAGGTCATGTCATCTGATGAGTCTAGATTTACCTTGTTGCATAGTGGTGGGCACTTCAGTGTAAGAAGAGAGGTGCATACGGTACTGCACCTCTGCGCTTAGTGCCAACTGGACAGGCCTACGGTCGCAGCTGCGGGTTCAAGTTCAGTAGCATTATGAGTCCAAAGAATGAGGTGAGCTGACAGCCTGGATATGTTAAACGGGCTGATTATCCCGTATCTGAATTTCATATTCCAAGACGACGGTGCCAGGACTGTGAAAATGCGGTTAAAGGAGCATGCGATGTTCTTTTCGCACACCACAGAGTCCAGATCTGAACTCTGCTGAGAAACTTTAGGACCTGCTGAAGGAGAATTTGCAAAGCCGTTTGACTCCTTCACATTTCCTTCGTAAGATCTTCACAAAAAAATGCATGCAACTATCTTTTCGATGTGACATCACAACATTATAACCAAACAACGGCATCTTGAACGTGTTCCATAATCAAAGCCAAGGGCAGTCCAAGGAAACGTTTGAGTGACCTTTTTAATGGTCAGTGTATTTTGATTAACATCTCAGTAAGCGCTTTCTCAGTCCATGTTTACTTAAAACTCACTTCATTCTTCTGTAGATTCGGTGTTCCAGGTGTTCGAAGCTGGAGCTTGTCTTCAGGGGTTTTCAAGTACATTGCAATTTTTAGTTCTGGTGTTTCTTGAGTTGTTCCTGATCATTCTGACTGAGTAGCTTTTATCTGAAGGGTGACAGTTTGGATCATATGATTGAAACATAACAGCTGGGACGATGATCCCAAAGTCAAATCAAAATTGATTGTGGAGTGAAGGAGTAAAGCAGGTCAACTTTGAGCTTAGCGAAGACCTTTCTGAGACCTCCACCTCTTTGTGGATTATGTTTAAAATTCGGTTTCAGTACAATTATTTGTACGAGCACCAATTCCCAACAAATGTCGTCTCAAAGCACTTTACAAAAAATGTGCGTCCACACACCCAATAAATCTAAGTGAACTAAGCCGATGTCGGTGTCAAATTCTGAATCATTTGTTTGAAACAGTCCGTCTTTCGGTCCTTCACCAACTAGAGAAATCACACCAAGCCCAGAGCTGTTTGTGTCGAAAACAGAACGTTAAATTCCAGGTAACGGGCCAAACATACAGGAAACCGGATCGGTTTCCCTCTCGCAAACTAATCCGCTGTAGTGTGTGCCTCCCTCCTTTGGCACGTGTCGCCACGTGTTTAGCGACAAACGGAGAGCGTCTGCACTAATGCTGATGGAGCAGCAATCCTTCTGGGGATCCATCCGCCCATTTCCCCTTTTTAGGTGCAGTGAAAAAGCAGCAATTTAAAAACACTGAAGTCGCAGAGGGGGACTGTGTGGAAATGCGATAAGACAAAAGAACTCTGCTAAGCACCGCGGCACAGAAAAGATTGTGAAAGGTGAACGAATGGTTTTGAGCGACACTAGGCGATCTCAAAAAGTGGGAAACGCGTGGTATTCATTCCCCGTGACTTTCTGTCCTGCTTTGTCACATGTAAGATACAACCTTCATTATATTTTATCGGCGTTTTATGCGAGAGCCTTTGTTTTCAGCATCATTACTCTGATTATTTGGAAAAGTGTTATTTAATTAAAGGGGTGGAATTATGCATTTTCCAGGCACAATCAAGTTATTATTGTTCAACTTCACAATTATAGACTACTTTGTTATAAATTTGATGTCATATGAATACATGTGCAAGACACCGCCTTCGTGTTCCCCTCAGGTTTGTTAAAGATGGTGTGCCGCACGCTAAAATGGATGCTTCTTCTTGGACCCGGACACTGGCTGAGAACTAAACTACTTAAACGATGTCAGAGTGAACATATGGAGGCGCAGGTCAAAGGAAGGCAAGACAAACATTTGGAGACGTAAGAGGTGCACTTTTTAAATCCGGACCCGGACAGAGACGTGCCAGAGCAGACTGCGAGGCAGAGCCCTGGCACCGCCGCGTAATCCATTTGTTCATGGCAGAGGCGTTAATGTCTGAGCAGCTCCAAGCCAAAAAACATAAGGGAGCGCTTTAATCAAAACTTGCATGAATCACAGCCGTAAAATCTCTGCAAACGTTTGAACAGGGGTGAGAGGTGAGCAAGCGTCACTTTGGACTCCTGAGCCCGAGAACGACAGGGCGAAACCCTTCCTGCGTGTGAAGTCACGTCAGGAGAAAAAAGAGGAACGTGTGCGGTGTCAGTATGGTGGCAGCTTTGAACAAGGGGGCTGTGGGGTGCGGATTAGGGCTGTCAATAGACCCCAGTGTGGCTGATCCTTTCAGGGGTTAAAGACCAGGAAATCACTCTCTCAGACTCACAGACATAAAGCCGTATGAGCACAAGCCCTCGCTGACTTTCCTCTGGTGGCTGATGAGGTGTCTTAGCTGATTAATGCCGCGCAGAACTTTGGAGGTCGTTTCCAGGACTTTAATTAGGCCAGGCACTAACTAAATCACACTTAGACAATTGAGTTCTCAGTTATCTTGAATTAGGCTCAGCTGAGGGCCAGGAAACCTGATTACCGTGTTTACATGAGGAGAAGTCCCCAATTTAAAGGTCAGCAGAAGGGGAGGATAATAGAAAATTGGTTACCTAGAGAAGATATTGGACAAAATGAAAAGTTATGCGAGCTTCCTGCGGAGTTTCGCGACAGTTATAACTGCTGGGGTGGTTCAGGAGACTCGCGCCGAGGCCAGACAAGCCCAAATCAGATTAACAAGCCAAATTTAAGTGATTTAACAATCTCTGTGGAGAGGTTAATCCCATTACAACAATGACCTCCTCCTCCCTAAAGCCAACAGGAACCAGCTTTTTTTTTTTTTTTTTAATGGTTTCTAATTAATTGCCTCTCAAACCTTCCCACAAGCACTTCTGCGACAAGTTATCTTACCAGCTGATTCTCTGGTCTTCTTGGTTGCAGAGCTTCAAATAAGCGTTGTTTAATGACCACGTTTGATATGTCTTAACACGTTAAGGCGTATACATATTTTCTTTTAGTATTTTTTTTCTCCATATCATTTATATCTTAGATCTACAGATCAAAGTGCTTTTGATGCAATGCAGCTCTCTTAAGGTAAACTCGTTGAAAGACGTGTACTTATATACTTATATCTGGTTGTGAAAACAACCCGTTCATTGTGTACATACTACATCTCAGTCCACCACTCCTAACAATGGCTGTAAATGTCATAACGGAAAGGCATTGTTGTGATGACTTACAGAAAAAAAACAGGAGCTTCTTAAAGAGACAGATGCCCAATTTCTAGGCGTCAAATTGTGAAATCAAATTTCTTTTATGTCATGTTTGATGTATAGTATTTTCATAACAACAGAAAGTAACAGTTGCCTGCTTGTGCTATGAAATGGCTCTATGGGTCTGAAAAATGCCTAACATTGCCTATTTAATATTCTAGAAAATGTATACATTTTCACTTTGTTGAAGTTTTATTTTAAAACTTTAAAATAGAAATAAAATAGTAGTTATTTAAAATGAGAACATGTTGTAGACGTGGTTTAAATTATACGTAGTCTCTCTTTTATAGGTGAGGTAACATTTGCGGCTCTAAACGACTTTTGTTCAGCTGGACTGGGGGCCAAAATGGCTCTTTGGCTAAGCATCAGCCTGCTGATTACACAATCATTGAGATGAAGTGTGTCCAAGCAGATAAATGCCTATAAAACATGCAGCCCTCCAGGAACCAACTTAGCTATAGCCAACAAAACGCTGTATGCTGTGTTTTCTGTAATGCAGGTTGCCCACCAATATACAACAAGATCCAAACCGTTCACATTTCTGGTCTGCTGCTCCTTTATTGCATGTCCATTTCCACTAGTTAAATGCATTTACTCTTGGAGCAATTGCTTATGAGTATATATCAAACTCATTACTTAAAACATTATCCAGACTTTTGGAGGAGTGGTCCATCCGGCCATGAGGGAGGAAAAGCCAAACGAGGGAAACAGGAAAAAAGGAGGGACGGTGGAGTGACACTGGGATTCGACTTGGGAAAATTCTCTGTGGTCACTCATAAAATGGCGAAAGCAGGAAAGAAAACATGTTCCTGCAGACCGCGTAGGGATTTGATGGGACTTAATGAACTCTAGTGTGTGGTGTTTGGATGGAGACAAAGAAACACAGGAAGGACTTTGGTCAAATTCATCAACCACAAAGTGTAATCCAGTGTGTTGGACGGTGGTCTCAGCTTTATTTCTGGGGCCAACAGGGAGGTCATTATAAAACTAATTGGCTTTCTTTTTTATGTATAAAGCCTTTTGCATTTTTTTTTTGGGTTACTCAAAGGCTCTAAGTTTAGGAAGTGCATTTATATATCCAGAAAGAACTTCAAATTGTTTTATTCTTTTAGATTTTTGTAGTGAATTGACAGAAGGCATAATTAGATGTTTTTGTGTTTTTATTTTTTTTTTCTCCCTGAACAGAAGGAAAATGACAAATCAGAAAAGACAGCTACATTTGTTTTTGTGCTGAGAAAAATATTTTGAAATGTAACTTAAGAAGATGAATTTTAATAAGAGAAAACTGGAACATCCAGTGCCTCACAAAACACCCTTTGAATTTTTTTAAAGCTTAATAATATCTATTATGCTCACATTCAGCTCGCAGACTGAAGCGTGACTTTAAATGAATGCTTAGTTACAAACTTTCCAACGTGTCTGAATTCAATTCTGCCATTTAAAAAAGTACATCATTAACCTAATGACAAGGAAAAATAGAAGTAAAAAAAATATTACAGGTACTTTTAGTGTTATCCTCTTGTGAGAATTCAGCAACAATATGTTCCCATATCTTTATTTAAAAATATTAGTTGGTTCTTTATCAATTTAGTCAAAGTCATTTAGATCCATTATGGCAGGTTCAAAGAGCCACTTGCAGCTCCAGAGCCACAAGTTGCACACCATGTGATAGACCAACATCAAGTTTTCAAAAACCCTACAACTAAAATCTGAAAAGTGTGGCATACAGTTGTGTTTAGGCTCCTTGAGTCAATCATTTATAAAACCATATTTTGCTTCAGTTATAGCCACATGTCTTCTGGGGTTTGCCATTCTTCCCCACAAATGGGGCAATCTCAGTCTGACTGACCAAATGACTTTGACTAGGTCATTCTAACACTTAGATGTTAGAACGGTTAGCCTAGGCTGAAGCCTCGGCTGTAAGTTTAGTGTTGTCATAGCGGTCTCCCCTTAAATTCTCATATGACCACAGTACCTCATTTCAATAGTGTCCACACGTTTCCATGCAAATAGATGCAATAGCACACCATCAAAAATGCAGAATAACATTGAATGCCTGTAATAACAAGTCATGTTTGAAACCAACAGAACGAGTTGAGAACAAAACACATTTTGCAGTTTTCTTGCTTGTAAAATTCCTGAACGGTTAAGGACCACATGTCCGTCCTGCGATTGTCTGTTTGTTTTCCGCAATTCTAATAGAAATGATCAGCTTTTTTTTTTTTTTTCCCTGCTCTCTGAGTTTTGTGTTTGGACAGGAAAAGGGGAGGACTCGCTGGGATCTCCTCCACTAACAGATGGGAACTTGTGGGTCCATTAGGCTGTGCAGCACGCTTCGATGCATTCCGTCAAGAACGCTGCAGAAACTATCGATTCTTTGGTAAAAAAAAAAAAAAAAAAAAAAAAAAATTAAAAACCAAACATCTAGTTTACAATTCTTGGGCGCTTGCTGGAAAGGATGCCCTGCATGTGTGATTGTTTCTGCAGAGAACTTTTACTCATAAGGAAACACTCTGTGTGCTCCGAGAGCAGGAAAATGATGGATGCGTTTCATTTCTGCCACCTGTGCTTCCACTGACAAGATAATGTTATTCTGTTGCACATTAAAACTCCATCCATTAAAAACAGATGGTTAATCTATGTGGCACCGCTCTCTCAGCGTTTGCTTCTGTTAATTCAGTTTGATCCCAACACCCAGCAGAGAACAAACAGGTCCTTCGATTTGTCTTGGATTTGAGAGCGTTGTGTTAACGAGAGTCCAAATCTCCGTTTCAAAAATCCAATTGGTTTTTGTTACCTCTACCACTAAATTTTCTGTTTACAGTTAGCTGTTCATTTTGGAGAGTTCATATACATTTTTTATGTAATTTTTTTTTTTTTTTGACATATTGAAATTTGAGAACTTCTTAGTACTTTTAAGCAAATTTAAAAAACACAAATACAAAATTTCACCTTGGATTTATTAATTTTTTTTTAATTTTTATATGGAGATCAAACTTTAAGTAGACAGGGAGGGAGGGAGAGAGGATGGACAGACGGATGAATGGATGTCCAAGCATTTTTTTTCCCCATATAGTATTTTGTTTTCCAATACATTACCACTCTGAAAAGATACAAAGTGCTGCTGTTGACATTTCAGTGAATGTCAGTAAGCTCAACTCAAGCAGAACTTTTAAATAAAGACTGGATCTCAAACGTTTTACCAAGAAAGGTAAAAGTGAAACTGAAGTGATTAATTTTTCGACAAATCAAATGTTTAATCTTCAGCTGACATTAATGAATTCAATATAAAAACAAAAATCCTTTTGGTGTCTTTAAATCACCTTCAATTGAAACATTTATTTATCTCTTCAGGACAAAGGCCCTTTGTGGGATCCGTTACTAGGTGAAGACATCTTCAGACACTTCACCTGAGCTGAAAAAACTGCTCTGTGTCTTTCAGCTCCAACTCCTTCCTGCTATTAAAGGAACAGCTTTCTTTTTTGTCCTTTCGTTCACGTACTATATCACCATCAATTGGAGTTCAAGACGTAAAGAGAAAAGAACAGGGGGTGTAGATTGTGCAAGTTTAATGTTGATAAAGTCCAGGATTGTGGAGTGACCAAATAATAGCTTCCTGTCGACAGGTTTTTCCACTTGAGGTGTTAATCTCTGCACCTCCTCCAGAGCGACCATAGGCCTCCTTCTTGCTGATCTAATCAATCATTTGACTGCAACTGCATAATGTCAAAAGAGACTTCTGATTGTTTGGAAACAAAACCTCCCCAAAAACCATGAATACCGATTTTCAGACAAGCATGCTGCTGTATGACTCTGAGAAGTAAGTGTTTCTAAATGGTGAGAAGAGGACAGCACTTCGCTTCAGCATGTTTGATCACAAGAAAGCAGGCAGATTGGTAAACAGTCTGCAAGTTAATGCTGCAATGAGAGCGATAATAGTTTTGTCCTTCCTCCAGGCTCCGTGGCCGTTTTCTGGGGAAGCAGGCTGGTCAATTTCTGAGGCAGGAGGGGGGCAGATGAGTTGGGGGGCGGGGGACGGATGAAGAGATTAGAAATAGAGTGCAGAGATTCTGGCCTTCGGTGCCGAAAGAAGTCATGCTGTCTGGAATCAAGTGCTAGCAGTTGGTAGGCAGTGTTCCATGTTTTGTGGCAACAGTGGATGTGGTTTCTACAATCTGAATGCAGGTAATGTATTTGTCTGCATTTTCCTGTATTAGTCTGAGAGACATGTGAAACTCAAGGATTGCGGACCACACCCAGCCCAGGGAACACTTGCAAGATTATTTAATGTCTCCATCTTTGATTGTCCGGCAGTAAGACACATAATGCTCATATCAAAGCACACTGCATATTTCAAAATGTACCGCTCCAGTTAGAGATATGAACTCTGTGCCTCACTGTGATCCAAAGCACACATTTTACTGCTTAGCTAAGCCCGCTGCACAGTTCACGTAGCACTTCATTGACTTTGTATCGCAAGACAAGTTGTCCAAAGATGTTTTTTTCAATAATTTTTGTTCTTAAGCGGGAGAGTATCTGCGTACATCCAAATGGAGTTTGCAAAAGTACAGATCCTCTCCGAGAGTCTGACCCAGTGTTACACGTTCAACCCAGAGAGGTTACTCTAAATCCAAACTGATAAAATATGCAGCTTGTGTGATACAAATCTGTACAAGCAATTGTCCTCTGTATCAGGATATTGGGCTCTAATAGGCTTAATTATTCAACAAAAAGTAATACAATTCTTCAGTCAAAAAAAAATAAATTCTGTCTCTCTGTCACAAAGGGGTGCTGATATTGTCTCCTCAGGATGTTTTCAGGAAACAAAAAAAATTCTGTTTTGAAAAATCTGAACTGAAAGAAGTTTTGAAAATGGTGTAGCCTGTCTTGGGCCAACGTACATAGCATACCTAGGGTGTTTCTTACTGAAAAATACTGGGTGGTGCAGCTGGTTGAAAACATGGAGAAGTTAAAGCAGGCAAGAGTCCAAAGCCGGGGCTAACTCCCAGTCTGGCACAAAGCTCTTGATTTCTGCTACAGCATGTGGAAGTGCTTTTGGCTTGGAGTAGATCTAACTGGGCTGGGAGGAGAAAGAAAGAAAAGGGGGAGAAAAAGCTGAAGGCAAAAACAAGCAAGCAAAAAGCAGAGTCTGCAAATGGACAAAGGAGCTGGGACAAAGCACATTACTCTTCATTTTTGTCACATCCAACTTCCCAGCAGCCGTACAGTGGGAAAACAAGCCTCTGAATTATGATGAATGCAGTCAGTGGAAAGCGGCTGCTAACAAAAAAAGCACATAAAGGATTCTTACGTTTAGTATCGCACAATGGTGCGCAACGTTTCCTGGTATAAAATTACTGCTGTTGCCAATACACAGATTTTTTTTTTTTTTTTGCGTTGCATTCATGTTTTGTCATTCTTCCTGATCCTACCTCTTAACAACCGACTTCAAGACCAATTCCTCCCCTGAGCTGACCCCGTCCGTCCGCCACAGCCAGCCCTCTGCTCTGTATGACAGGGTTTCGGCAGGGTTATCATCAAGTCTATCCAGTGGTCTCAAGGCTAATATCAATGTCTCAAGGGTGTGCAGATAACCATCATTTTTCTCCCTCTAAACCCCACGGTTGGTCCCCTGAGTAGAGGCTCAGCTGCCTGCTAAAGCCTGTTTTTACTTCATCCCTCTGCTGTTGTCACAACATTTTCATTACATTGCAGCTTTAAGCCCTTAATGACCCCCTTCTAAGACTAAACATGAGGTCAAACAGGGTGTTGTCCGGACAAAGAGCCGCATAGGCGGCAACTTTTGGTCATAGCTAACCTTTGTTGGCCTCTAAGCTGATAATGCCGATATATTGAAGTCAGAAGTTTAGCATACTGAGTTTTTTTTTTTTTAAGTTATTTTTACAAAAAAAATAATGTTAACTAAAAACTCATAAGGTAAAAATCACATACGGATTCTGTTAGCTTACTTTTTATGATCAGATTCTTATTTCAATGTCCCTTCAGATCAGCATTTGATTGCAATCACAGCATTCAGAGGGTATGTGTTAGGGTATTTTTCATTTTTGACTTTGCGGGGGGAAAAAAGGTCAGGCTTAGATATTTCAGTATTTACCGTGATTAGATTTGGTATAAAAAGTTAGAGAACCACTGGTTGAGGCAAAACAGAAAAAAGGAAGCAAAGACCATGGAGAGTTAGAACTTTTAGCTGTTACATAAACACACACCGCCCTCTGAAATGCTCTCTGGTGCACGTTACCATACGGCTATACAGCAAAAGCCTGCGCAGCCTGTCCATTAGTGTTGATGTTATAAATAAAAACTTCAGCTCAGAAAGCTAAAGCAAAGTGTAAATAATGCAGAAGTTGGGCATGATATCAAAAACACCCTAGAGTTAATCCATTCAGAGAGCACGTTCCAACGCACATGGTGGGTTTTCGATATCATGTTTCCGAGTTTTGTTAAATAAACAGTAACTGCTTCAGCCTTTCTAAACCTTTGCCAAAACCATACAGAGCTTGGACGCAAGTGCTCCTTGGAGAATAGTTTCAGGGAAAAATTACTACAACTATCCAGATCTGAGGTAATCATATAGTAGCGTACAAACGTCTGCATGTTTCACGCTAGAGGAGAAAGTCTCTTCTCCAGGTTCTTTGGACTTTCTGAAGGTCCTGGACTTTGTAACGACTGGTGACCAATTTTGGGGGGGATTTAGACGTGGCTCTGCTCCAACACAAAAGTTGCCTGACTACCTTCTCACCAGCATGTCAAAGGTCTGCAGAAACCTGTCAGTGGACCATCATTGGATTGGGGTGTGTTGAAATCAGAAAATAACTCAAATTTGAAGGGCACTTGCACTTGAGGACTGACTTTGGGCACGTCTGCCCTGAAGATTTTTGTTGCTCTTTTAAGCTGCAAACCTACAGCTTCAATCCGGATTTCCTTGCTGAAAGAAACCTATAAGAAATCCTACTCTCAGTTTTCCACAAGCCACATAGGGTAAACAGCAAATACGGGGAAGAAGGTGCTGTGGTCAGATGAGATTATGTATAAATCTGGGGGGACTACTCTGTACACAACATCCCCTGGGTAAAACATGTTGATTGAAGCAACATGCTGTGGTAATTCTTTTTTTTTTTTTTTTTTTTTTTT